ACCAAAGACTGGTAACCAAGATGCTCAAACACCTGATTGGCAGAACGGTGGAAGTCTACATTGATGACATGGTCGTGAAGACCAAGGAACCTGAAGGTCATCTGGTCGACCTGAAAGCAGTCTTTGACATCCTTAAAACATATCGGCTCCGACTCAATGCAGCAAAGTGTGCATTTGGAGTAGGATCTGGTAAGTTTTTAGGATGCCTGGTGACTAGAAGAGGCATTGAGGCCAGCCCAGATCAGATTAAGGCCGTCCTGGAATTGAAAAGCCCGACATCAGCAAAACAGGTACAAATGTTGACTGGAAGGGCCGCAGCCCTGAATAGGTTCATAAGTAGAAGCTCAGACAAGTGCAAACCTTTCTTCAACTTAGTAAAGAAAGCCACAGATTTCTTATAGATAGAAGAATGCGAGGCCGCCCTGGCCGACCTGAAGAAGTATTTGACCACAGCTCCAGTTCTTTCAAATCCAGAACCTGGGGAGGAGTTGTTTCTATACTTAGCAGTTTCAGAACACGCAGTAAGTGCAGTGGTAATCCGAGAAAAAAAAAAAGAGCAAAGGGCTGTTCACTATGTAAGCAAAACCCTGGCCGATGCAGAAACAAGGTATCTACCCTTAGAGAAATTGGCACTGGCTTTAGTAATGGCTTCAAAGAAGCTGAACCATTACTTCCAGGCCTATAAAATTGTTGTGCTAACTGAGCACCCCTTGAAGTCCTTACTGCAACAAGGAGACTTGATAGGGAGAATAGCCAGATGGGCAGTCGCTTTGGGCCAGTATGACTTGGAGTATAGACTCAGAACAGCAATCAAAGGCCAAGTTTTGGCCGACTTCGTGGTCGAGTTCACACCAGAATCCATCGCACATCGGGCTCCGTTGAGCCAAGGTGAACAATGTCCAAGCAAGTAAGGAGAAGCCCAGCCAAATCCAACAGAACAAAGGAAAAAAGAAAAACTCAGACCCTGCAGCATTTACATCGGCGACTCCTTTCGACTGTTTGTCGATGGGAGCTCAAACCGGCAAGGAGCGGGGGCAAGAGTAGTACTGGTATCTCCAGATGGTGAAGCATTGGAACAGTCCATTCGATTGGGGAGCAGAATATGAAGCATTGATTGCAGGACTAAAGCTAGCGGTTGCAACAGAAGCATATGAAGTGATAATCTTCTGTGAATCCCAGCTCATAATCAACCAGATAACGGGCGAGTTTGCAGCCCGAGATGAAAGGATGTCGGCCTACGCAAAAGAAGTCAACAGGTTAGTAGCTTTGTTTCATAATTGTCGACTACATCAGGTTAGCCGAGATGATAACAGTCACGCCGATGCACTAGCCAATCTGGCCAGTGCAATACAACCTGGAAAAGCAAGGACGATAATGGTCGAATACTTGTCGGGCCCGAGCATCAAACCACTGACCACAGAGCATGAAGCAATGTGTGTGGACATGGGACCAAGCTGGATAGATACAATTGTTGCATTCTTGAAAGAAGGAAAGCTGCCAGATGACCACAAGGAAGCACACAAGATCAGATTGAAGTCGGCAAGATTCAGTCTAACAGCAGAGGGACATCTCTACAGAAGATCTTTCACTGGACCCTTTTTAAGGTATGTACACCCATCACAAGTTGAAGATTTTTTATATGAAATACATGAAGGAGTCTGTGGAAGCCACACCGGGGGCAGATCACTTGCCCACAGAGCCATTACCCAGGGGTATTGGTGGCCCTACATGCAGAAAGATGCAGAAGCCTATGTGAAGAAATGTGAAAAACACCAAAAGTTTGCACCATTGATACACCAGCCTGCAGCAGACCTTAACCCAGTATCCAGTCATTGGCTGTTTGCCCAATGGGGCATGGATCTCATTGGGCAACTGCCCCAAGCAGCTGGACAAAGAAAGTACCTGCTGGTAGCGACAGATTACTTCATTAAGTGGATAGAAGCTAAGCCCTTAGCCAAGATCCGAGATATAGACGTGAAGAACTTCTTGTGGAAGAACATCATCACCAGATTTGGGATTCCGAGAGCAATAATTGCTGACAATGGAATACAATTTGATAGCAAGCTAATCAAGAACTTCTGTGCAAAGTTCAAGATCAATAATTACTTTTCAACCCCCAAGCTTTCCTCAAAGCAATGGTCAAGCTGAAGCATCCAACAAAGTTATCCTAGATGGGATAAAGAAGAGGTTGCAATCAGCAAAAGGAAAGTGGGTAGATGAACTACCAAATGTGCTCTGGGCATATCGGACTACGCCGAGAAGATCAACGGGGGAATCTCCCTTTGCCATGACCTATGGCACAGAAGCTGTCATTCCGCTTGAAGTCGGCATCCCTGGGATCAGAACCCAGGAAGAAGAAAGTGGGACTAATGATATACTCTTAGCCCGAGATCTGGATCTACTAGAAGAAAGAAGAAAGAGAGCTGCAATTCAGCTCGCAGCCTACCAGCAGCAGCTTGCCAGAGCTTATAATAAGAGAGTCAACCCAAGGGAGTTCCAAGTCGACGACCTAGTCTTGAGAAAAGTCGTTGGCAACAAGAAGGATCCTAAGGAAGGCAAGCTTGGCCCAAACTAGGAAGGACCCTACAGAATCACTTCAATATTGGGCAACGGGGCATATCGACTTGAAGATAGTGAGGACAAAGAGTTGACAAGACCCTGGAATACTTGTAATCTGAAGTTTTTCTACCATTAGATTTTCCTTGTTATTTGCCGATGTCATGAATAAAATTTTAGCAAAATTCTTCTATATTTGTGACTGATGAAGATACATAACGTTGTTTCGAAATACATGCATAATGAGACCCCAAGTGGAACTTAGGTTTACATTAGGGGGCAGAGAGAATAAATGATGTTTAACACTTGTTGAAACTTGAGAAAAGTTTACAAGTTGAAGTTAAACCGAGATAATGTTTAACACTTGTTGAAACTTGAGAAAAGTTTACAAGTTGAAGTTAAACTGAAATGATGTTTAACACTTATTGAAACTTGAGAAAAGTTTACAAGTTGAAGTTAAACCGAGATGATGTTTAACACTTATTGAAACTTGAGAAAAGTTTACAAATTGAAGTTAAACCGAGATGATGTTTAACACTTGTTGAAACTTGAGAAAAGTTTGCAAGTTGAAGTTAAACCGGGGTCATGATTAAAGGAATGAATAATATAGGTTCCATCACCTCAGATTGCTGAGGTAATAGAACCTAGGGGGCAACTGTGGAGACATATTTTCTGAGTCCCAACACGTGACCAAGGTGACGCCGACGTGTCAGCCAAACTGCCACGTGTCCGGGGTCATGACGCCGAGGTGATCTCGGCAAGGCCGAGGCTATCTCCGAAGATAGCGGAATCCGAGATAAGCGGATAAGAGACAAGAGTCTTAGAATGATGAAGAACTTTGGCATGGACAAGGATAAAGCTCTTAGGGAGTTTATCTTTATCTCTTAGAGAGTCCAGGATAAGCACTGAGCAAGAGTCTATAGAAGCTAGGGTTCTAGTGGGACAAGGATTGAGTTAATTATAAAAGAGAGGCACCCCCATGGGTCTAAGGTACGCAATTTATATTCTGAATAGTGAAGTTTAGCACTATTGATTATCTTTGAGAGATATACTGACTTTATCGTCGGAGTGCCCCCGGGTGGACGAACCACCGCCGGAATCTTCTCTTTCTATTGCAGGTCAGCTTGGTGCCATCTATTCTGCCAGTTCTCTCCAACTGACTACTAAGTTGGGCAGTGTGATCGGAAAATCACTCACACAAAACTATAAAAATAAAAAGTATAATTAAACCTATAATTACTTATTTTAAAATAATTTAACAATTTCCGTATATATATGATTGTTTAAATATTATTAAATGATGATATTAAGAATTTGAATTTGTTCATACATTTTTTTAAGCGTATTAACAATATAAAATATATGATTAGTTTAAAAATGTGAACTGATAAATCTCACTATTCTACAAAAATTACAATATATGTATTTTTTACATACTCAAAAATCCAATTCCAATACCACAGCGTTTTTTCGGAAAGTTCCCTTAGAATCATAGGACATTCTAAAAATTTGTACCATCCATTTTTGTCGTTAAAAAAAATTCAAATTAATTTGATAGTCATAATCTTATAATTTGATTATATTTTGTCTTAAAAATGAATAATTAATTTATAATTAATTTCAAATCAAATTTAAATTTTTTTATAAAAATTGTTTTTTATTCGTTTTTATGAATAATTAACACACAATACCTTAGAAAACAGACTCGTAATGACACCACAAGCCCCAAAAATACTCCTCCAATGCAACAACGAATTAAGAGAATGTTCGATACGATAGAATGGACTGGAATGAAATGTCTATTCTAACTTTGCATTTTATTTCTCTTGTTTGGTATGTCTTATTTAAGTATTCCAATAAAATGTAAGAATATTTATTCCTTCCTCCAACCTAGGGAATAACCATTCCATTCCATAATGGAATTATAATAAAATTTTATTCACAGTGTTTTGTTTTAATTTTCTCAATTTAATTTTCTAGAAATTGAATTTTTTGTTTTTTCATATTTTTTTGTGTGAATATTTTTAAAATTTTAAGTAATTTTTTTACTTTTTTAAATGCACCTTATTTAGATGTATCTAAAAAGTAAAAGTATTTTAAAAAATAACAAATATACAAGAATACGAAAAATGTACTAAATTTTGTTTTTGTTTTTTTTTTTTTGTATTTTTGGCATTTAGTGTAATTTTTTAAAAAAAATTACAAATATTATACTTTTTAAATGTATTTATGTTGAGTGTATCTAAAAATTTATAAAAAAAAATTTGCTTAAAATATTATTAAAAAAATCAGTAAAAACAAAAAAAAAATACGAAAAACAAAAACCTTCAATTTTCTGGAAAATGAATCCTGAGTTATGAAACCAAACGAGCTTATTATTATTATTTTTTTGTTGGCCCTTAAAAAAAATATTATTATTTAACTACTATCACCATTTCATTCTCCTACCATCCTATCACTACTGCCACTACCACCCTATTGCCACGACAACCACCACCACCACCACAATTGTCGCTACAACTACCACACCGCCATACTACTACCACCGTACTACTAATGTCGCCACTATTACCACCACCGCCACTGCCGTTGGCCATTGCAACTGCCGCCGCCCCCACTACCACCACCACCGCAACCACAACACCACTAAGGCCACAACAATCTACTACTATCATCCTACTATCATTGTTATCACCTCCACCAATGTCGCTACCATTGCCGTCACCACCATTGCCACTGCCGTCGCCGCCACTACGACTCACACATTCACTTTCACAACTATTAATATCATCATAATTTATATAAATTTTTAATTTATTTGTTACTAGCTTATTAAAAAATATATATATAACCAAATATGAGAATGAGAATTATCATCCTATTCGTATTTCATTTTATGTTGGCAACCAAACAATAGAATGAGACTGAACATTTCATTCTATTCAACCTTGTAGTTCATTCTTATTCTCATTTTATTTCATTTTATCGTACCAAACATGTTCTAAAGAGAATTCATTCCTATTTTTTGTTTTTTTAGCAATACTACATACATAAATTTTTTTATTAAATTTTTTTTTGATAATTACAAGTATATACTCTTTCAAATTTGTTTAAAATACAAATTTCCTTATGTGATTTGAAAAATTACAAATATTTTATTGTCATAATTTTTTATTTAACAGAATTAATTAAAAAAAATAAAATTTCTAACTACTTTGTTATATAATAATAAAATTATATAAATTATTCATTAAAATAAATTTTTGATGTCATTAAAAACTATTAATTTGCTGGTGATTTATTAATAAAATGGGTTATTTGTTAAGAATTTAAAAACTTGAAGAGGTAGGATATAATTTTTAAAATCACAAAAAGATAATTAATATTTTAAGTAAATTTCAAAGATGTACTTATAATTTATCTTAAAAATTTAGGCCAAGTTTGACAACCCAAAAATAATCCATCTTTTTATCTTTTTTCCATCACATCACCTTTCTACTTTTCTGCACATCTTTTCGTAAAAAGACAAAAAGTACACTTATTTAAAAATTCATCTGTTTATGTTTATTTATTTATTCTTTTACAACTAATCATGTTTATCTTTATTTATATTTATAGAATTATTCAATATTCTCTGCCTCTCTTGTCGGTTCAGAAAATGTAGTGGTGGTCCCCCTTGAATCCCAAACCAATGGTTTCAAACCTGGACCGACCGGTCAAATCGGTTGGACCGAGAACCGGGCCTTGTTCTGGTCCGATCAACCCCCTAAACCCGGAATGGCGCCAAAATCGGGAAAAACCGATGACCCAGTGGTTGAACCGGTAAAACCGGTGACCCGGACCAGTACGAGAGGGTCAAACCGGTCTCTTTTTTTTTTCGGTTTTACTTTCTTTTTTAATTTTCTTTCTTTCTTTTCTTTCTTTCTTATATATATATATATATATATAAATATATTTCAAAATTTTGACTAAAAATTCTTATTTTAAGAGTCTCCTCTCATAAGGAAGAGTCTCATTGGAAGTTAGAGAAGATTGTGAAAGTCTATTCCTATTTATAGGAAAAGATTTTTCAAAAAGAACCTACAAAATTCTATGTGGGATTCAATCAAATTATTTGAAACATATTGATTGGAGGGAGAGTTGAAAATTTCATTTCCCTCCAAAATTAAACCTAACATTCAATCAATTTGTTTGGAGGGAATGTATTTGATTGGAGAGAGAGTTGTAAATTTTATTTCCCTCCAAAATTAAATCTAGCATTCAATTAATGTGTTTAGAGAGAATATCAAAAAAAAATTAATTTCTTTAAAGCAAGTGACTTTTTCTTATCAATTTTGATTTTATTAAATATTATTAATAAATACTATGCAACAATTTTTATTTTTATTTGAGTATTTATATTTTTTTTTATTTATTTACAATTTTTAATTATATAATATTAATTATGACGTCACGGTTTGACCGCTTTGATCCAACGGTTAAACCGGTGACTCGTCCACCCAGTCCTTTTTCCGGTTCGCTCACCGGTCCGGTTTTAAAAACATTGTCCCAAACTCTCCAAACCAGTGGTTACTGTAGCAGTGGCGCGTACCTCTCACTCTCGCTGTCTCTTGAGTGAAGTCTGGGGGAACCAAGCAAAAGTTTCTCAACCCCTTTTATTATATTATACAATTCAAATTCAGTAATTTACACTTATTTCTTTTAAAATTTATAAAAATAAAAAAAAATACAACAGAGTTTCATAATTTTATTACAATTATACTGAGTTTTTTTTCTAAATTTTAATTTATATAATAAGTAATTCTTTTTTAATTAATAATTTGTTAACTAAATAGATAGAAAAATAATATTTTCGTCTTTTTACAATGAAATATATATTTTTTCTTATTTATCTTTGAATCTTCAAATTATTTCTATTATTTTTTATTCATTTAATTTTATTTAAAAAGAGATTAATATAATTATGCTATAATTATAGGACTTCTGTATTTTATTTTCAAATTTCAAATATGGTCTTTGTAAATTACCCATTCAAATTTAACAAGGGAATTTTTTTTTTTTTAAATCTGTTTTTTAAGGACAAATGATATTGACAATGCCCTTGATACATAAATACTTTCCAAATTTTACAGTCAATAATGTTACTGTAATTAAAATTTTGAATATCATTTTGCAAGTCGTTGTAATGATTTAATGAATTTCTGTATTATAGAATTCATTCCCTTCATTTTCCCTCGCATTCCCTCAATTCAAATATATAGCCTTCGTGATACATTAAAATGATATCTAAATAAATGAATGTCCATTCTTGAGTCTTGTTAGCATGTTGATTGGTGTACATTAGTTGTTCCTAGTGTGTGATTAAAAAAAACCCTAAAAATTAAACAAAAAAAATTGGACACAATATCCTTACCAACCATAATTTATCTAGTCGGTCAGGAATGCTACGTATTCATGTGACTGACTAATTAAATGTTATAATTTGTCAACCATCTCCTTATTATTAGGGTCATGTATTCATTTAGCCCCTTACTATTAGTTGAGCACATCGTCAACGTGAAATTCTTGAAAGATAGGATAATTACTCTTTTATCGACATATACCACATAGGGGTTGTCCAAAAGAACAACTCTCAAAACTCCTCCAGTCCCTTCTTCAACTAGCATGTCAGCCATACAACATACTTGTCACAAGGCAGCTCCACGAAGTCGTGGATCGGTTGCTGCCAAAGAACTTTTGATTCGCCATCCGTTCACTGGATTAGCGGATTGGAGAAAATCAATCCGCATTCGTCCGCTAATCAAGCGGATGCGAATTGACAGATGGATGCAAATCAGTTTAACAGTTTAAAATTTTACAAATTTTCAACATAATTCAACATGTGTACTTCCTAAAAAAAAAAACATGTGCACTTTCTTCCTCAACCACCACCTGTGTGCAATTCATATATAAACTGCCAAAAGATTATCAAATAAAACCAACCCATGACCTCAAAAAATTAATGCAGTGGTTGAATTTTCAACATACAGTGGTCAAATTTTTGGCACTAGGCTAGTAAATTGTGCAGTGGTCAAATTTTCAACATACAACCATCCAAAAAAAAAATATTACAGTCATCCAAAAAATTTAAAACGTCTTAATACAATCATCCAAAATAAAGTATTACAGTCATCTAAAGAAAGTTTCAACCAATAGTCATATTTTGAAAATAACTTAAAAAGAAGCAATAAAGCCATTCATTTCCTTGAGCTAAACCATGAGCTATCTAAACCTGCATAACCAAAAAAAAAATGAAATTATTTAATAAGAAAAACACTAAAAAGTCTTAAACTTAAAACAAGCAAACATCAACAACATATAACAAAAGGGTCAGGCAATCTGTTGCTCAACCCTAATACCACATGAAAGTTGATAATCAAAAAGTAAAATTATTATAAACATCCCTCCTCATTCTTCTCAATAATTATGTTTATCAACTTGTCTAAGTTTTTTTTATCTCATAAGTTATAAACAAAAATTATGCCAAACACTATTACAAATTTTATAAATAAAATAATACTCTTCAATAGTTTAGGAGGTCCATTTATACACTTTTATAATTTAGGAGGTCAAAGTGATAATTCTCAATAGTTTAGGAGGTTTCCGTACAAATAACTCACTATAAAATCATAAATTGAACACTTTTGGTGTTCTTGCGAAAAAAATTATAACTAGTCAAGACATACACTATATAATAAATATTTATTTTATTTTTATTTATTTAAATTGTACTTGTGTGTGAACCATTAGGGCATGCTTGATTAGTATGATCATAGCATAAGATTTGAATTATTAGTCTAATAACTCATAATCCCATATTTGATTATAAATTTTATTAATCGGATTACATGCATGGCGGATTTTAATTTGACGAAATTGACAAATCATATATCATATATACATTATTAAAAGTAATATTTTTCCCCATACTTAGGTGACACATTACAAAGGTTTGCTCTTTTTTGTCTAAAAAAGTCACATTATCATGCATTTTTCATTTACATATAAAGTTCTACACAAACTCAATTTTAATTATAATAACCAACTTTACATGGATTCAAAATACTTGTTTTTCATATATATAATTATAATTTAATTATTATGATATTTAAAAAAATTATCTCGATATACAAATCTATTTAATAAAGCAGAAAGGTTTTTGAAAATGTGTGAAAATGTATGCGAGATACATTTTAATTTAATGGCTGAGATTAATCCCAAGTTTATATCAATGGTTCAGATCAATAGATCTCCCGCCCAATGACTTCTCTCCCTAAGCATCGTTGTCGCTTTTCCACCTACCCACGTCTGTCTCCCCACCTTCCCTCTCTATCTCTATTTCTATCTCTATCTCTATCTCTATCTCTATCTCTCTCTCCCTCTCCCTCTCTGTTCTTGAATACATCTCTCTTTCACAAATACATCTCTCTCTTCCTCCTATCTTTTTCATACGCTACTCTCTCTTCTCTTGCGATGACCACTGACCACCTCTCCTCTCCCTCGCCGGAGACCCAAACCCGAGCCCTCTATTCCTGTCTTCCTCCCTTAATCTCCCGCTCCATCATCCCCTTTCCCCATTTTAGGCCTTGTTTTGCGACAGACCCATACCTTCTTCGATTCAGTGAGAGGAGAGAAAGAGGAGGGCATCGTTGTCCTGTCCCGCCGATGCCGATGCCCTACCCCGCCGTCGCCGACAAGAAGGTTCGAAATACATGAGGTAAAAGGTCGTAGCCTACCTGATGAATTTAGATTCAGTTTTGGAACTAAAATTTGACAATAGTAGATGTTGTGTGTGTGTGTGTGTGCCCAGGAATCTGTGATGTTATGTGATGCTGTGTGTGAGTTAGTGAAGCTGTGTGTGAGTGTGTGTCTTTGACAGTATGTGATGGCTGTATGTGATGGCTGTATGTGATTCAGTTTTAGATTCAGTTTTAGATTCAGTTTTGATCAATAGTGAAGCTGTGTGTGAGTGTGTGTCTTTGACAGTATGTGATGGCTGTATGTGATGGCTGTATGTGATTCAGTTTTAGATTCAGTTTTAGATTCAGTTTTGATCAATAGTGAAGCTGTGTGTGAGTGTGTGTCTTTGACAGTATGTGATGGCTTCTCCCTCCCTGTTCTTCTTCTTCCCTACCCTCCCTCCTCGCTTGCTCCCGAAACTGCACAAAAATCCCAAATCATCCAATTCAAGTTTGTCTTGAGTTGATCACTTCGCTCACTCTTCTCAAGTGTGTGTCTTTCATTTTATTATGAAACTTCTCTCGAATCAATTCAAGTGTGTGTCTTTCATTTCATTATGTTTGATTGCTATATAAACATGTCATTTTGTGTTGAAGAATAAGATTTTTTGGTTGAAGAATAAGATTTTTTGGAACAGTGATCTACGGGGAAAAAAAAAAACAGAAGTTTACATTGCATATATAATTCAAGAGGTGAATCTACCCCATCAAACTAAAAATCTAGGTCATTTGCTGCATTTTTTTTTGGCTTATTGGTTTTGGACATTGAGGGGCACAACTAAAGCGTTCTTTTCATTCTGTTTAGGTAAGTATGCTTGGAGTTCAATTTTTTTTCTTTGTTCTTTGTGCATCATAAGTAATTGTAAATTGTAAAATATTTAGCTTATTTCACTTTTGATTTTGAGATAAGAATACTTTTTGTTGGGTTTTCATGTGTTTATTGATGTGTTGCATTTATGTTAATGTGTTTGTTCTGGAATTGAATTTGTGAACTTTCTTCTCCCTCTGCATTGTAAATGTATAATGAAATGCTTGAATGAAATTTTATTTTAACAGTAAATTACATCAATCCCCCCTTGGCCTTGAATTTGCATCATGTCTTCATTTGATGGATTTATGGAAAGCCCACATCTTTTCAAAGTATTAGTAAATATGTCGACCAAACAACAGAAAATAAAAAATAAAAAAATTAAATGTCACTCTTCTGTATATATACATACATACATGTCTTCAATTTGTGTTGATTTGATTGCATGAAACTTCTCTCGAATCGATAGCCTCAATTTACTTTTTAATTTCTCTCTCTCTCTCTCTCTCTCTCTCTCTCTCTCTCACTGTTGGTTGATTTTAGGTTTTTATATCTGGATTGATGGATCATACAATTTTTTTTTTTTTTTTTTTTGTGTTTAAGGCTTCAAGGTCATTTCTTTGTTTTCGGAGTGTTATACTTCAACTGCAAAATTGAGTTGATTTTAGGTTTTTATATCTAGATTGATGGATCATACTATTTTCTTTTATTTTTGTTTGTGTTTAATTTCCTTATATTGGGATTGAAGAATTTCTTTGTTCATTGATGTTTTGATTATTGGAATTGTTGGGCTTCAAGGTCGTTTCTTTGTTTCCGGAGTGGTATACTTCAACTGCAAAATTGAGAAAGGACAATCACTAATTGTTATTTGTTATTTGTGTTCAAATGTGGTGAGGTAGAAATTAACTTATATTCTCATAGAAAAATGCAAAGAAAACTCTTCAACTTATATTCTCATAGGCATTTTCATTTCAGTAGAAATTAACTTCAAATTCTTGATGCTTGCACTTCCAATAGTCTACATGGAAATTCCGTATTAACTCCTTCAGTGTTAAAAAGAAAATCCTTATTAAAGTTATTAAGAAGTCTTGACTGATAATGCTCTTGAGATTTCATATACACATAAGCTAGAATGTTCTATCCATTAAAGCTTTATTTCAATTTATTTGGAAGTTGCAATATGAATCTGTTACCTATTGATCTTATTAATGTTATTTAAGTTATGAGAGGCATCATATTTTTCTATACCTTGCATATTACTAGACCATGGCCTACCGAACGTGGTTGCACACAACCCTCACGGAAGAGCCAAGGCAAGGGTCTGAAACTCCCATTCCATCCATCATTGACCACCTCTCTCAAACTGTCTGAAACTCTCTTATTCTCCTTACCAATAATTGCAACAAAGCTATAAAAAAATTCAATTAAAAAATATATAAAATGAAAATCTTTGATCCTTTGCCATACATAAAATGAAAATCTTTCTTCAATAAAGCTCAAGTTTTTAGTTATTTTTTTCTTTATTTGGTTTCATATCAGATGATAAAATTAAAAAAAAAAAAAGCTTTTTCAATTTTTTTTTTTTAACAGAGGTCAATACAAAAACAGCACAGCAGAAAAAACGAAACCAAATCATTCATGCCATAAGCCCAAGAGGTGGGTTAGAAACCCAATCAAGAGGGAGGATGTTCAGAAGATGGTGATGAGCCACCTAATGGGTCTTTCCCAATTCTTTTGTGTAACGTGATTCGATTGAAATCGCTCCGAAAAACACAGGTTTGGTTTTGATTTGATTTGATCGATGTGGGTTTTGGTGTTATTGTCAATGATGTGTCTTTTTGGTGACTAATTAGGTAAGTGTTTGTGTGGTTGGAAAATTGGGTAGTTGTTGGATTGAAGAGAAGATGTGATTGCAAGCTAAGCTTTTTCAGTCCCTATCAGAAGTGTTTGTGAGTGAAAGAGATGAGTTGTTTTGGAGCATTCAATTCTTGCAAAGAGAAATCTGAGACTCAAATAGAAGGTAAGGGCATGACTATGATTTTATGTAATTGTACGCAGTACTTATTTGTTGGATGCAAGATTTTATTTTTATTATTATTATTTTTTTGGTGTATTAAAGTTTATGATTTTTGAGTTATGGGAGATGGGTTTGAACTTTATTGACCTATTCAACTCTTGGTTATGGCCTGAATAAGGATATGGT